TTGACCATTACCAGAAGAGGGTCATTGACCGCTTTGAAATAACATTTTAATTACAACTTGATTTTTATACAGCTTCTTAATTTGATAGCCAATTAATCGCCTGGCTTCGTTGAAGTATCGTTTCCGCACTTCTTGAACAACTTATGGTACCCAAAATCCCCTTCTTACCTAATAAAACAAATTCTTTTACCAATTGTTATTCTTACGTATATTTCCCTACAGTAAACGCCCTTATTACACGGTACGCATTACGCGGTTTCAGTGACTCGTTTAACACGGTTATTCCTACATATAACGCTGGTATTCCCACATAATATAACGCGGGGATTTCACACGTTATATTTACGCACTTATTTCGTTCATAACATAGTTCTTTTCTCAATATTCGATTAAAATGCCCTGTAACGAGAAAAGTCAAAAAAAGGCATTTGTACATAACGCGTTATAGGGGATCAAATGGGGGGTCACACGCGCTATGCGAGAATACTCCTACAAGGCGTTTCCTATAACGCGAAACCAATCTTCCGTGTTATAGGAGGGATTACTATACTTATATTTACTTTGTCGAATCGTTAGTTTTAGTGGTTTTTAACGTATGTACTGAAATTAACGCGATATTATAAATAAATTGACAAAAACAGAAATATTATAGTTGAACCAAAGTTGGTAAATTTGGCGTTTAGGTGTCTTTGCCCGGAAGTTACAAAATATAAGTGTATTTATTGTTTTTCCTTGAAATACTTTGCTCTGTGAAATTCATTCAAGTGGCGACTTCGATAAAGTGAAACACAATTGGCGCTGACGCAAGCAATATGGCGATTGTTAAATTTATTACTTCGAGAATCAAGGTTTTTCATACATTCTATTGATTTTATTGTCACGGTGAATTACTGGTTAGTGAAAAGCACTTTTGTTTCAAGCTTCTTAATTCTTGTTCAAATTGACAAATTATCAACTGGTTGCTAATCTAGTCATATAGGGATTTGCTTTTTTTAAAGAAATCAACTTTGACGTAACTTTAACGCACTGTTTGACTAAATGTTAATTATTTGTTTTTTTTATAAAGAATAATGTAAAATCGATAGTTGCAATATTTGTTATATTCACAATGTATTATTTGTGAACACCATGTATCTACATAATAATTAAGTTATCTGCTGCATTGTTTTTTATAACCATGCGTCTAGTTTATTTTAGTATAGTAGTTCTTTGTATTCTAGGTACATGGTCTTCACATATAATCAAATCAATGTATAAAAATATTGTAAAAACCATTTTTAAAGAGTAAGTATGAAGTTTCTCCCCCATTCTTCTCCATATGAAACTACCTTTTGGAAGGGGTATTTAGAGTCATTCTTTTTAAATATTTTTAACTTGTAATTTTGACTTTCAAAAGTGCCTTATTGAAATAAATGTTTTGACTTTGAAATAAGACTCGGTTTGAAACCATCATTGTTTGGGTTCGTATAATATATCAGTACACCTACTAAGTGTTCATACTAATTGAGGGTTATTATTTACTTTCTCTGACAAAAAGTGCGGACACGGATAAGTAACTGCTCTTTACCGTGGTGAAGGTAAAACATCAAATACTTGTGTTCCTCCATTGGTGTTTCATTACAACTTCTCGTAGTGTCCTCTTATAGTGCTCTTCAACTGCTAAGGGCGATAGGTACACCGATTCAATGGTGCGCCATCAGCCCTACGTATAATGAGAGGACTACATTGCATACTAAAACGTTGGGATCGCTAGGGCTTTTAGGCAAACAGGCTCATCTGATGTTAAGTGATACTGCCGCCGAACGACACACATTGCCAGAGGATTCGCAAGTGCGTTGCCGCCCTTTAAAATCGTTATAGAAGTTTACAGAGTGCCGTCGCAAGTAGTAACATTCCGCTTTGACTGTCCTTAGATCTTTGATTTTATAAGAATGAGGAAGTGTACAAAATTCGTTGAAATTTCCTAGTCGATACAGGAATGTGACCCAATTAAAACGGGAGATCGTTATGGATGTTTCGTAAGCTTGTTTTGTATTAACCTGTTTATATTATGTTTTGACAGCGCTTTTAAGATAATGCTTATTGGCATTTAGTATTACAAATATTTTTGCTTAATTATATTATATATAGAGCAGTGTTGGCCTAGTGGCTTCAGCGTGCTACTCTCATCCCTGAGGCGATAGGTTCGATCCCCGAACTCACTGTGCACCAATGAACTTTCTTTCTATGTGAGCATTTCCAAAAGTCGACGGCTTATGTCAGGCACAGGAGGCTGATCAGCTACATGCCTATTAGATTGAAAAATGATCATGAAACAGATACAGAAATCTGAGACCCAGACCTAAAGAGGTAGTGGCGCCACTGATTTTTTATATTATATATATTTATTCAATAATAAGAGATAATACATATATCCATTATGTTGTAGTGATATTTTTTCAAGATCGTCCTGTTCACTGTTTACATAATATGTTTTTATTGCTTTGTTTTGTTCCATTCGTTTTGTCTCATGTAATTTTAACTTCTTGCGATTTGTATATCTGGAAAGAAAAAAACTGCCATTTGACCGGATTTTCATAGTTATGTCAATTTATTATAAATTTATGCAACTATTTAACATAATTTTAAAATTTATCCAACTTTTGTTTACGTACATTTACTAAAGCGTGTAGGTACCATTTTGTCGGTAACTGGTGCCATCATTTATGTCGAATATCTCATTGTTATTTGGGGCTTCTGAAACTTCCGCGACAATTGCGTCTTGGCAGTCCCTTGATGTTAATTTATTTATTTATGCTGTTACTAGTGGAAACGCTCAAGGTCAGAACTATACGTCATCTTCGCCTCACAGTCGACTTCTTTATTTGCTGTTTTTTTTAATCTAATACTTATTCTGCTATTCGGGACACCGGTCTACCTAGTAAGATAAATAAAGAAAATTGATAATCCAACAAATACATTATGTCAAAAAATCAAAAGTTTACCGTCCCGAAACCCTCCACTTACCACTCGCGCGCGTGACCACTTTTCTCATGCTATGGTAATAAAGTTCTAAATTGTTCCATTAAGGTAATTATAAAAAATGAATACACAGTTTATTAGGTTTTTTACAGGGAGCTCGTGATATAGAAAAGTGTTGTTTTTAGACTTTTTCAACTGCGCCAAAATTTTTGTGGTAAATTCCTTTCTTCCGTCTACGAACCATCCTCGTACTTTCAAAAAGGTATCATTGAGGGCGCAGAGCGCCTGGGTTTTTTCAATAAAAAAATCAGATTCAAATCGTTGACAAGCCGTTTTCAAATGTTACTGTCAGTGACACTGCGCTAGGGCCACATAATCGGAAATTTTTTCGGCGGCTTGTGTTTCATTTTTTTTATAGTATAGATTATCACATGTGGTAATGCCTGGAAGCGATTCGCTACTTGAAAGCGAAAATATAAAAGGCCGCCAGCCTAATTTGCCTTTGTCATTTTCTTTAATTATGTCAACTGTATTGAAAAATATTTCTGTATGCCAAAGATTTTATTGTTAATAAATAAATACGGGAAACAGAAATATAATATAATATTTTCGTTATCTTAGTACTGAAAAACTTCCATTCTGGAGAAAAGATTAAAGAGAAATACGTAATAAACATATTTTCTTTCTTCCCTAAGTCCAAGTGTGTGTAGTTGTGTTACCCAAGATCCACTTAACTCAGCTAAATGCGTTTTGTCTCTTTCATTCGGAATGCGGTCCATTCTGGTTTGGTTGTATCTTTCTGCATTCCACGAATATTTTTGAGATTGCATTTCGTATTCTAATGGTCTCGAGGCACGACTGCATTCCAAGGGATAGCGAAAGCTTCTTATCTCTCTGAACCATTCTCGCCGGTTCACCTTTTGTTAAAAGGGTTTTAATGCCTTTATGTACCAAATTAAAATGGAGGCCCAAACTGCGAACACTGTACACTACCACAGCTAAATCAGATAAAATAAGCCTTTAATTTCTATGCATGACAAAAGCTCGAGAGTGTTTCTTTGAACGCGTTCTCAGGAACTCTGGGTCGAATTGAAAATTATTTTTATGTTGGAGATTATTTTAAGGAAAAATGTCGTTGCAATGAAATACGACCATTAGAACATTTAAAAGTTACTTCAGCTCAGCTGTCTGTTGAAAAGCTTGGAGTACCGGTACATTTGTTATTGTCACGGTCTGTGCACTTACGGTCTGGGGTTAGGTAATTGCTAAAGCAGACACTGCTTTTACTTTAACTCTACTAAAAACTTGAGAAAAATTAAAACTTTAGGTACATTATTTTAAGCAAACACAAAGAATATTGTACGCCCATGAAACGTAGGAAATAGGAATTATTAATAATTTAAATTATTTATACACACGCTAATCAAAATACTACAGTAGTGCCTTATGAATTATTCATAAAATGACATTCAGTCTTAATTTAATTACATTGTTGTCACAATGTATGCTTGCCTATCTTCTTTCCGTCACAGCTCAAACAAGATCTCACCAGAGACAAACATTATTATGACTATAAATGAATGAATTGGTTTTTATGAATCACGAGATTGGTGCAGTCGGCTATACTATATGGTTTTGATATTTTTTCCAAGTCCGGCACACGTCTGACCTTGGTCCGCCAATGAATGTTTATCATCGTCCTACTCCCGATCTCACGCTGACCGCTACTACGGTAAAAAACTATGCCTGGAGGCTGGAATACTCAATATCTTACAATCAGATTAACTCAATATTGCCCGTATTAAAACTAAATTATTAGAATCAATGAAGAAATCAAGGGCATGTGTTAGGCTCGAAAAGCCGAGCTGAAACATGAAAACAGATATAGAACTTAAGGCCAAGAACAAGGCTACTGTTTTTTGTTTATTTAAGAAGAATATATGATATGAATAATGAATAATTTTTGACCAGAATACGTAGTTTATTTTTACATTATGGGCTGTTTAAAATCTTTTAGGTATTTATCACGCTGCGTATCAATGGTTTCCCTCAGGACCGGTACTCAATCGCGTTACGTGTAACATATACACCTTGTCGATAAATAAGCAAAGAATCCTTCAGTTACACAGTAGCATTTTATTAGCCACTCCCTATCGTATAATAATAACATGTCATTGAACTTATGGCATGAATATTTATCACGATAAAATCGTTTTATAGTTGATTGTAACGCCACCAAAAACTCATGTCATTTTCATTGTATTGCACTAAACGGGCAACTTAAAGCCATTATAGTTTTTAGACGAATGCCTAAATTTTAAAAACTACATATTATATGTATTTTAAAATACTATTTTTAAGACACCGCCATCTACCGTCGACAGTACAACTTAACTTATATTTTGTTTATAGGAGACAATGGCAGCACTCACGCTTTGTATCTCGAGACCATAGTCGAAGAGACGAGTGATGATTTACGTTCAGAACGGTCCTCGGCAGCCACTTGGCTGTCTGACTCCGATGCAGATTCTGTCATACATGTACGCGGAAATGGAGGTGAGACACGGTGACGCCAATTTATATTGAGAGTAATTTATTTGTGTGTTAGCGCCATCTATCTGCTAACAGTCAAGCCTTGAAGCAGGTTTATATGCAACGCGTTGTACTGTAGTACATTCGTTTTAGACATTATGGATAGGTGGCGCGCACTAGCTACTAGTAGTTATTTTTATTTATTAATTGTAGACAAAATTACTACCATGACAATTTCTACAAAATAACAATTAATGTTCGTGGCGAACATTAATTGTTATATTATAGTTTTTTTGCATTGTATTACGTGACTCAAGGATAGATAAACATCAACATATCCAGTTTTTTGGCTTCCATCCAAACATCTTCGGAGACGATGAACAATTTTGTGTCATTGTCACTACCGGTCTTTGTGCGGGACGCATGTCGGCTCGTGTCTGAACGCGTGTGATCTTTCTAGGCTCGGAGTGCGACAGCGAGTCGGAACGCGAGTGGGCCTGTCCCGCCAAGCGGCGGCGTCGAGAGCGCCCTCACTCTCCCACCAGCACGGGTACTCTCTCGCGGTCTTCCAGCCTCGCGCAGTTCGAGTCGTTGGAGCGTTCGTGCGCGGCGCCGCTCTCTCCGAGTCTCTCCCCGGATTCCCTCGAGTCCCCGCCCTGCTCTCCGCCGCCATCGCGGCCGGCGCCTCGCGCCCACCTCTCGGCGGAAAACCTCAGCGAGGACAGCGGCTACTGCGAGCGGTCTCGCCGGCCGCCGCCGGCCGCCCGTCTGCCAGAAATAGCGCACACGAGCGGCAGCGTGCCCTGCCTCGCCTCGCCCAGTGCCGGCCGCCGTCCGCCGAGAGCCGCCCGCGCCCTGTCCTTACCGGCCGAGCTCGACGTCTGCGTCGAGACCCGACGCTCGACGCAACACTCGGCGCGCTTCCGGCAGACCTTCGAGGTGTGCGACAGCTTCACGGTGAGCGTGGCCGACCTCACCGCCCTGGACTACCGGGCGCCGGCGCCGCGGAGGCCTCGCCTGCCCCCGCCGCCTCCGCCGTGCAGACCGGCACACCGACCGCCCCCGCCTCCCGAAACATGCGCGAGAACGTGCCGGGAGCCCAGCGCCGGCAGCGACTCCACTACCGAATCCGAAAAGGCCTTCACGGCAGAAATGGAGAAAACCGCTCGAAGGCTCGACGAAAACTCGAAGCGGGCGCTCGCCGATGCCGGCAATTACGAACGAGAGATCTCAGTGCTGACGGCGAAACGGTTGAGAGACTCCTGGGGCGCGTGGGATGACGTCCTCGATGAGTTAAGAAAGAGGATCGAGCCTCGATCGCCCGTTCCCTCCCCGCCTCGGACGCCCTCGCCGGACCCGATTCGGGCGCCAGCTTTCACGTCGACGCCCCTGCGCTCGGGAGACGTGCACGTCAGATCGACCCCCGAGCTGCGCTCTCGGGCGACATCCGACAGAGGAACCCCCGAAGAACTGCGCGCCTCGCTCCAATTAGTGGCGTCTCCGGTCCCGGACGGCGGGCCGCCGGTCCGCTCAGTGTCTAGCGGGTCCAAGGGGGTGACGTTTTCGCCGGTCGTCGCCGAAGTGAGCTGGCGCGAGTCTAGCGCCAGTACGGAATTGAGCTCTAGCGCGAGCGACGACGCGGCGGACGCGGAGGTAATAGTTGTGGAGGGGAGCGAGCCGCCGCGCGCGCCGGCCGCAGAGCGACTCATCGACATGACCGAGACGCGCGCGCCGCGCAGCCGCATAGCGGGCTTTCTTTCGCGCTTCGCGAACTTCCGTTTCTCGGGACGGAAGGAGAAAAAGCGCGCAGGCGCGACAGTTCGAGGGACGACCGCCGCGGCGGCGACTGCAGACGGGGTGGGATCGCGCGCGGCGAACGGCGGACAGAGCGTGCGGGTCCCGCTCGCGGAGGGTGTGTCGCGGGCCCCGCCGGCTGAGGGAGTATCGCTGACCCTGGACGGGACGGGGCGCGCCGGGCCCGCGCGGCCCGCGCCGCCCGGCGTGCTAGAGACCGATGTAGACACGCAGCGCACCGTGCTCCACGCGCGTTCGCTGCTCGCGCTGGCGCCGCCCTCGCGCACGCCGAGACCTCATAAGTCTATGGAATTCCTGCTCGATAAAGACAGCGCCCAGATAGTACAGGTGAGTGCTTCTCCTTCTTCCCTCTGTAAAGAAATTGAGAATCATAATTTTAACGATAGGCCCCATAAGTGTTCGGGTCATTGTAAAACGTATAAAACCTTAGAGTGTTTCCCCGTGCACATAAATAGTAATAAACGCGAGCCCCTATCCCGCCGACCGACATCTGGCGATAACAATTAACGAATACCGCTAACGACCTACGTCGGAATCACATCACCCTTAATTCAACAATCGACTCTTATTGCTCAGACAAAAGTTTCACAATGTTTACAAACAATCGATAGGTAGGTCGATGACCTTTGGAGCACATTAGGCTGTTTGCCATCTCACGGATCGCAATTATTATCGCATCTCGATTCATGTCTAGTTACGTAGCGACAACCAAAGCTAGTTACCGCTATTTCATGTTTATATTAAAAAATAGAACAAAAACACAAGTAATATTATATTGCACATAACCCTATGTAACGGTACAATTAGTCATGTCATTACAAAGGACAAAGACCAAATAATAATTAACCCGAGCAACTGAACACAACACTAAAATATCTCCTTACATAGTTATGAGTTATGACTAATTAGTGATGACAAATAATCAGCCATTTTGCATAATACTCTAAAATGTTGTCATAACAATTTATTAGGCTTACAAGAATTGTGGCTCATTAATTCTGTCGTTTCCTGAACTCACTCTAAGGAATCACAGGACCTCTTGCTCAATCTATATAATAGAACTACTTTCAGGTTCTAAATAAGCCAGAATCCTTAGGGACATGAAAGAAAAACTTATTTAACTAATACTGTATTATTACGGTCTAATTCTTTACATTCCAAACGAATGAGCAAAGGGACGGATTAGAAAAGGGATATTCAACAACGTAGAAAAAGTTATCTTTTAGTCTCAGAAAAGAAGTTTAAAACTACTGGAGTTTTGCTCAATTTTAACTTTATCACACATCTTTAAGGAGTCATCGCTTTCAATTATTAAAACCGATGTAACGGGATGTTCGGTTAAAACAATTGTTCGAATTTTACCGAGAAATTCTTATTGTTGTGAACAGCTGTGAATTGTCATTGACGAACTAGTTTCAGGTAAAAAGTAACCTTTTTTGCTGGTCAAGGCTTTATTGAATTGATTGAAATACCTCCGTTTTCGCCGATATTTACAATGAACTCGATTACAACTGCGAGTAAATAAATGTGCATATTTTAAGTAAAGCTTTCGACCCAATGTAATTTCCTTGATGTTAAGCTAACGGATGTGTGGCTAAATCAAGTTTCCGGTTCCGGGTAGCCACCTCATAGCTGAAAGTAGGTGTTTGATGGTTTTAAAACAAAAGCATATTATCGCATAATAAATGGGAGTGATTTAAAACACCTTTATGATTAAATAATGGTTGTACCATATTTTAAGTTTGCAAAGACCGCATTAGAATGAAAAAGGATAACCGTTGAAAGCTAAGATCTAAAATTAGCTAAATATCTTTAACAATAATATGTGTGCATTACAAAGCCACCCAAGTTTTGTCCCACATCTGGAAATAGGGCATTTCTCCGGCTTCCCCTGCTTCCACAATCTTGTTATTTCTATTAATTTATTTAATATTGCGACAGCGACGTATTGATTAATGCGACTATATCTGTGTTCCAAAATACATAAGATTTCTAAATTATTTATTTAAGGCCTTTGTATTAGTGTTTGTTACTACATGTAAGAAAATATTGAATAAACATTAAAACTAAAAGATGTACCGAAACAATAATCATCTAACCACTCGTTTCGTCAACGTTAAAAATAATATATTAATGTCAAAGAAAATTATTCTCAGGAACAAAATGAATAAATAACTTAATTATTCTAAGTAGGTACTTGTCTATATTAATGCAAACAATAAACTATGGTTAGAATTCAAAGTCGTGACTAAGCTGTCTCTCAAAAGCGTAATTTTGACATACGCCAGTCAGTTCGCGAATCAATGTGTACCAAAGAGAAGCTAGAATCGCACAGCTGGGAATCGAACCTACGACTTCCGGGATGTGAGTCGCACGCTGACTAGGTCAACGCTGCTCAAAAAATTCACGGAGGCATGAAATAGAAGACTTATTAGATAGAAATTCATTTAAAAAAATAAAATTATACAATAATACTTGCATACTACCTGTACTAACATATGTATCTCAAACTTGGGGCCCACTAAAGCCTGCATATATGTGTGTGAAAGATAGATGGCACGATGTATGATAGAGAAGAAAAGACTACATCATTAGGAAGTAAGGAAGCAGATGTTACAATGAAAATAAATACACTATGTGGAAATGGGCGAGGCACACGGCAAGAGGATCAGAAAAGTGGAGCAAAAAGTACTAAATTGGTGCCCAAGGAGCAAACTAAAAAGCGGAAGACACCTTAGAAGGTGGATAGACCAAATTAAAGAAACAGCAGGTGGTACATGGCAGAGTGATGGCGGGATTTGGAGGAGGCCTAAGCCAAAAAAGGGCATACGGATACTTAAAAGATGATTGAATAAAAGATAAGAGATATAAGAGACGCGACGGTATTTTGAAATTGTATGATATTTATGATGCACAAACAGAATCGTAGCGCCTAGAACGTTACTTAGGATTTTATTAGTTTACAAAATCGAAACAGCTCACTGTTATTGTACTTTTATCAAAAGTTGCTGCGTTTAATAAAATACTGTGCAGAAATGAAAGTACAGAAGCTATTGTGAACTTTAAATATTAAATATTGACAGACAGATTGGGATGTTGGTCAGTACCAATCTCGCGTGGTTAAGAAAACAGCTATGTTTACTAAATACTATGCCAAGGCTAACTCATAGAAGAGTAAACATTACAGCTATACTTAAACCTAGTTTATAGGTAAACCTATGTAGTAGTGTTTGGCTCGAGAATTGTAAACATACTTGGAGTGAGATGTGCCTACACCCTCTGCGTGCTTTGCCGATGAGTAGAGATGCCTACAAATTCAAATTTAATGACGTGGAATAAGTGATACATGTATCTTATGTTCCATAATAAACAATTTTTTTTTTATTTTTCTTGTAGATTATACAATGTTAAAAATCATATCGTTACGTAGGTACAATTTTTTTTACGAAACACAGATCTAATTAAACATTTTTATTGATTAATTAGTATTATCTTACAATATCCTTATATATTTATATGTTAGAACTTTCTACTTTGCGATTTATTATATTATATATAGTTATTTAAACAAGTCTCAATTTCGGAGTTTTACTTAATTCACCAATAACATTCATAGCTCATTCGAGGTCAGTACCTAAAAAGGTTAAGGTTAAAATTGACAACAATCACTAAAGTCATTTTAAATTGAAATATTATTTTCCTCAGTATTTAATAATAATTTAATAGAATAGTCTAGAATAATACAACTATTGTTAGTTACATAAGAACCGTAACGCTTTCTTTTAATAACAAATTATTTTTCCAATCACGTTTTGTTAATATTGATATTCATCCATCGAGCCATAGGCAAATACTTCCGCTTCAACTCGGGTTGTTCCGTTACCTATCTGAATATTTACCGAGGAAATCTGTTGTCTCTGCTTTGTTAAATGTTACCTCTTGCTTTTTACACTCTACGTGGAGACGGAATTGCAAAAGGTTGCCCGGAGTAAAGTACTACCGTTTCTTAAACGACCACGAAACGCAACTCTAAGTGTTCCTTAGGTCCCAATTGCGGCGTCACAACTCGCAAACGATCCAAATATGTTGATAATCAGAAAAATAGCCTTCATAATAATAGCAAAACTCATTAAATCTGTTGTTTATTATGGATAATAAATTCGCTGTCGTATTTATTACTTGTTGTGATTAATTAATACTTTAATTACATCGATGAATGAAATCCGCGAGCGTTATTTAAAAAAACAAAGACTATGGCTTCTATCCTGTTAAGTACGAAGCTCTGGAACATCCGCATTGCGGGTTAATACAGTTTTATCTTTTTTAACCCGAGACGATAAAAGGAACAAGAATAATTCTTATATTGATTTTGGCAATATGTTCTTTTACATAATATAAATTAAAACATATACGTAGCGAGTGTTATAAAGATCATGCCGTTTTATTCCGGTGATATTTCATGCTAATAGCTCATGTCATCCAATTTACAGCTTTTGTAGCACAGGATGGACCAATTGTATGCATAAAGACCTAGACGGGATGTGAGTATTGCCGAAATCTTTATATTTGGCCGAGTTGAGCGATTTAAGATAATCAGACCACACAGAAAACGATGAATGCTTGTTGTTAAAATCATTAAAAGTCATATTCATGCAAAAGAAGTTGAACATACAGTGATGGCGAGTATCGCGTTACAGTGATTAAGGCAACTTCTCGAGAAATACGTTGTTTGTTATGCGAACGGGAATACGCAGAAATTGTTTCATAGTAATTGGATATATCGCGTTTAGCTTTATTTGTTGCTAGCCAAGCTGGTTCCCTTGCTCTTTGCGGATTTAGTTTCCACGCCCTCGGTTAAACAAATCTCAAACGAATGCATCACATACATAAAGTCCTTAATATAATTATGATATCTACATACTATACCGTCGAATTGAGCAAATTTTTTATTTTTTTTACATTTTATACATTTTTTTAAATTTTTTTATCTAATTTAATACATTTTTTTTCACAGTGGCCGCCAGTTGCCCTCCTTTTCTTTTAATTATGTTCAATTTTTATTATGTTAATGCATCGAAGTGTTATTTAAATAAAATAAATAAAAAGACCTATCCTAGTTCAAATTGCTTATTAATATACAAACTTTATTATTTGTCGAAATTGTAAGCCAAAGAAGCAAGTCTGGCTAAACACGAACTTAGCTAAAGTTTTGGCAAAGTACGCAATAAAACCTCAAAGACGTGCTCCCTCATAAGTAATGTCTAATTTAAGAGCAACTTAGAAATTTTTAGGTCACCCGCAGTGACCGCAGCGAAAGGAAATTCGCCGACAGGAAACGATTGATATAAAATATACTTAAATATTTTTTCCCCCCCCCCCCCCCCCCCCCCCCCCCCCCCCCCCCCCCCCCCCCCCCCCCCCCCCCCCCCCCCCCCCCCCCCCCCCCCCCCCCCCCCCCCCCCCCCCCCCCCCCCCCCCCCCCCCCCCCCCCCCCCCCCCCCCCCCCC